CAACATTTTTAATTATTTCCAATAATTGGTTTACGGAGTCATGTCAGAATTGTGGTATTGACATAAATTACGATTAGAGGTGAGACAATATTAAAAAAATATCTGCGAGATCATAATGGATTATAATTTGGTAATCTGTAATTTTTGCGTTTTTTTAGCCCGATTTAAGAACATTATGCAAAAAAAGTACGTATTAAGCTTGCCCACAATGATGCTTGGAAGAGTGAAGTAGTCGTTTAGGTCACGTCGTCACTTGTTGAGATAGTGACGGCATGATTGAAAATAAAGACGCCAATCTTCCAAGCGTCACTGTGGGCAGGGCTTGTGACGCCACTTTTGAGCGCAATTCTTAACTCGGACAAGAGAAAAACCGCGAAATTTGAACGATTAATTTATGAAAAATCATTTACTTTTCGCAAATGCCTTAAATGTGTCTATGATCAAATAAAAAATGTCGTCAATAATACAATTTCGACATGTTTCCAAAAACCAATCATTGAAAAGTTAATTAATCAATTTAATGAATTCTTCAACTTACCGTGGAGATTAGACCCTAATTGAATGTCGCCATGGGCTGATAAATACATGAAGAAAACTCGTCCATCTCTTCAACCTTATTATTAAACAATTGTTCGATTTGTTTAATAATAAGGTTGAAGAGACACCCTGTCTCATAGAATATTCGTACGTGTTCAAATAAAAGTAAAAGAAAAAATTCAACTCTGTAGCTTCAATTAGAATATCTAAGAAAATAACGACTATAAAGCCAAAATGACGGTAAGCGCTATTGCGCAATCCCAAGTTCGTCAAAGTTTGATTTCAGATTGAACAAAAGTAGAGATGTATAGGTATTGCATAGTGTTTCTATCTCTGAAGGCTTCTAAATCGCTGTGAAGTGTAACAGTGCTAAAAGCAAGAAGTCCTTTATCATCTGATGGCTTTAACGAGGCAGAAATCGGATCGGGACAAAGGCACGAGCATATATTTTTATTGTTTTATACATCTCCTGCATATCGGACCAGACAATTTAACGCTCAAATAATTATAATCTCGTTTATTAAAAGCTGAGGTAGAATTTATTTACTAAATAAGGTTGTTTGCTGCTCTGATAGTGAATTCAGTAACAACAGTATATATATATATATAAACTTTAGCTGTGCCAATTAATATTCCATTTCATAAACCCTAGAGGCTTTCTAAAGCAAAACACACAACAAATGTGTTTTTGGGCCACGCCTTAACTAAAACGCGTAGACATCACCATTGTTAAAATTAAAGAAAACGTCACAGATGGGTGCAATATATACAAATTGGTAAGGCACTCCGGTGAGTTAGATAACTTGATGTTATCTAACTCACCGAAATGAGTGATGAATATCCTCCAGCTCGCATTTAGTTCTCTGCTACTTCTTTCTTAAATGCGTTGCTAAATGATGTTATTTTCTAAGGGTAATAGTCTGTAATGTTCATCTATGTGTATATTTTTATGACGTCAGGGGATAATATAATATTGCTCGTAAATAACAAAATGCGCAGAAAATTCTTATTTTTTACGTATTCTTCTGCTTTGGGTGTATCCCTCAAACAATACGTCCTATTATTCACTGAACATATGTATATTGGACTATTTTCTCACTGCGTGTCATTTTTTCGATTAGTGGATAACACCTTTGTGTCGTAGCTTGATCAAAATAGTCTTAACATACGGGTTTTAATGAAAGTTCTATGTAACGCGTTACTTGTACTTAATGACGTTTTCGGCACTGAATGAAAGACTTGTTAGTCTTTAATAGAACGAACGAATAACATATGTTTTACTTTATGATAGAATAAAATGTAACAGTATTTTTTATTTCTCGAGGAGTGCGTCTACAACATAATTTTCCCAACGTAGTTTTAACCATAGGCGTAGACTACGGAGTGGCATCGGGGCTCGTGCCCCCCCTGGTGAGATCCGGGGGGGAGGGGGGAGCAGAGCCCCCCCTGGGCCAGGGTCATGATCCTTACCGGGACGCTGTTTACATGCCATGTAACGAGCTTCTAGCAGTGGCATGTAAACAAAATAACGCCCACGTTGCCTTTATTGACAAAATTCATAGGAAATGAAATCCCAGTGTGCTTTCGTTAGCTTCAATCTCCAGTTCTGGCGAGAAGGTAACGCGCAACCCCCCCCCCCCGGTAAAAAGGAAAGTCTACGCCGCTGGTTTTCACACTTGCGCGCGCTTCGCGCCTATGACTTCAACGGCGAATAATCTCCAGCTGAACAATTAACAGCTGTACGGAAATCAATACAGTATAAAGAGAGCTATGGCTTAGCACGTAACCATTGCGTTTTATATCGATGAATAATCCCTCTTTTACGGACACACCTTTAACAAACAAACACTACGAGGTAGTAACGGTTAGCCCCCTGGAACATTCTATTCCATCCTCTGTTCATCAGTTCAGTCTAGCTTTCCCTAAGTGAGGTAATGAAACACTTCATTGCTGTCAAGTTTAAGTGAATTGAAGGTACGGGCGAACTCGCATAAGGTACTATCACAATCAATATGATCTGAAACGAGGCACTACGCGTGGAGCGTAATACTACGAGTGCCTCCTGTTCGTGCGCTCCAGATCAACGAAGCTCATCTCGAATACCCGAGAGTAGAAACAAAAAGTGAAAAACGCACACACAGGTCTCAAGCACAATTGCGACGGTTATTCACGACGAAAATAATCCGTGGAGAAGGGGAACAAGGACCAACACAAATCTCCAAATGCAGCTAGGTGACTGGTGCTCGACCGAAAAAATCCGCCGGCTCCGGGTATCGAACTCGGCACTTCTCCATTTCCAGTGGAGCGCTCTACCAACTGAGCTATCCAGGGGTAAGATGTCAGTGGAGCAAACATGTTTTATGAGATGCCACCAGTTTAACACCAACAAGGGTGGAAGTCTTGCATTTTAAGGTTATGATTATAATGCAACTAAATGCAATGGTGCAAGCGAGCTGTACGAGTATGACGAAAATTTCGTTATAATCATAACAAATTGCATTATAATCATAACCTTAAAATGCAACCCTACCACCCTTGTTGGTGTTAGACAGGTGGCATCCAATAAAACGTGTTTTCTCGACTGACATCTAACCCCAGGTTAGCTCAGTTGGTGGAGCGCTCCACCTGTAATGGAGAGGTCCCGGGTTGGATACCCGGACCTCTACATTACATTATGTAGAGGTCCGGGTACTCTGCATTATGATTATAATGCAGTTAATTGCATTATAATCATAAACGTTTATTCACATTTTCTTGTAGAGAACGTGGGTGCTAAGTTCGAGATGCGTATTCTTTAAAACAGGAGTCTAGAAAATGCTTCCCGCGACTCTCTGGCGTCCTTCGGATGCGAGCTCCTGTTTCGATACCTCGAGCGCTACATACACCGTGACGCTCGAGGAGGAGCTCTGCTCATATAACATGTTCACAGATTTGACATTGTCCTCTTATCGTTTTGACTGAGCTTTGTTTTGTCTAAATATTTGATTCTGCCCTTTCTCGGGTAAATCAGCCTTGACGACAATACCACTGCTAAGCTAGAAGCGCGAGCTCTTTTTATCAAGGAGGCGCATCGGCTGCACAAATCTCGCTCTGCAGGAGCGACTGCACAATATATATAAAGCTATGAGCTTGGCACTCTAGCCGGCAAAAAAATCCTCTTAGAATACGAGTATTTAACTAAAATGCTGTTATAAAATCGCCAGGAGAGCAAAACTTCCGTATAAAGTGTTATTATTTTTCACGCCTGTTAAACGGAGCAGATTGTGCGACAGGGCAACGGCAGTGTGCGTGGTCTTGCTCAATTGAGAATTGCCGGCACGTTGCCGTTTATGAATTTTGTTACCAGATCAGGTGTGGGCTCATATTTCTTAAAACAAACACGGATATTAGCATTATATTACTCGTTTGAGCGACTCCAAAATGTGATTCTAGTTGCGGGTCGACGACCTATGATAGAAATATCTTTTTAAATGCTTGCTAACTCAAAATAAGTATCCAAAAATAAATATTTTGTTGCTTTTTCCGGTGAAAGATTATATTGGAATTACATGCCCCAGGTATTTGAAATGTTTATTTCTAGTGTGAATGCAGTGTTTCTTTAAACATGTCCAGGGTCTCTGCTTACAAAATCTATTTGAGTCAGACCACTTTTTGCCACCTTACGATTATCTGGAAGTGCTTCCTATGGCGCAGTATAGATCCCCTGCCATACTATGAAGTAAGCATGTTTTATAGCGCTGACGTTTGCCGTAGAAGGCACTAACAACGCTAACTTCAAGTTTTGTAACGTTATAACATATTAACATGACAGAGAGAAGAAATTGCTAAATGAATAACGACAACAAGATAGTCCTACAAGCATTACATTAAATACTCAAGTACTGATGTTTAAATATCGTTGTCTCGTAACTTAAGAAAAACAAGTGAACATTTCTGTCACTTCTGTTTAACAAATTGAATAATTAACTTTGCTCGTCTTTAAAAGTTCGCCAATTGCCCAACTTAAGTTAAAATGGGATATATTCATTTCAAAACCGAAGGAAGCTTCTCGCAAGTTCTGATCACACAAACGGAGAAGTGAACAATTTGAGCGATTCCAGTCATGCACCAAAATATAACGCAGGAAAATAAGAAAAAGAAAGAGCAATGTAAATTTGAATAGCAATCGGAGTCAGTTCAATCCTCCAATACGCGAAATTATAATTACCCGCAAAGATATATGGTGCACGTTGCTGATAACGCCTGCAGGGAGGAGTCAATTGAAGGGTTTAAAAAAAAAGAAATGCAAACTATTCATTGATAGCTGTGAGGAAAAGAGAATACTGTACTAGGTGATAATTAAGTACTTCTGTGTTATCTCCCCTGCCTTGCCTCCCTTCGTGTTTCTGGACGCCACGGAATGCTCGCTGCCTACCCATTTATGTCCTTGGGAATCTGCGGTAAGAGTGATTACGCCTCTGCAGGTACTTCGCCATCGTGCGACCTCTGTGCGGTCGACTGTCAAGGTGCCACGCAGCGGTCACCATCGGCACTATCTGGGGGGCGTCGGGGCTCTTGGCGCTGCCGACGCTGCTCTTCTCGAGGACCAAGTCGTACCGCTACGGTGACAACGATGTGCGCATCGTCTGCTTGCTCGTCTGGCCCGACGGACCGCCGACCATCTCATCAGCCGAGTATCTGTAAGCCCCTCTCTCGTAGATACGTCAAAATATCAAGTTTTCTGATGTTAAATTAAAAAAAAAAAAAAAAAACGCAGGAAAAGAAGCGGGCAAGTAGGTTTTGGCATATTAAGAAAATAAAATTTTCGTTGGAACTTTAATAAGAGAATATACAAACCCAGGGAAGCCTAACTGATTATCTACAGGGATATCATCAACCGTGTGTTTCACATTAACTTGGAAGCGCTGTCTCGCATTCATAACATGTAATTCAGGTGAGATGACGAATGTGCTCTCAACATAGCGTACAATATAGGACCCAAAAATGTTCCTTTTTTTTTTGTTTGCGGTGCCGAATCATATTCATGTCAGTAAGCTGTGCAAAGCGCTTGGATATGTGACAGATGGTGATGAGTTCCCCATCAGGCATTTAGATCGCATCCAAAAATCAACCACGATATCGAGGCTTTCTACATTTTAAGATGCAAGGAAGACATGCGCTTGAGTTGAAAAGAAATTCCGGTAAACCAATGCGAGATATAGCGTTTAAGTTAATAAGAAGCGACTGGTTGATAACATCTATGCAGTAGATTATTTGTGGTTTCCGTGGTTTTTGTTTGCTTCGATTAAAATTAATTATATGACAAAGCCTAGTTTGTTCTTTTCTTCTATCTATTTATTTTTACTCGGATTTTTTTTTGACAATTTATCCCCAACTCGGCCAAATTTATAAACTTCTACAGTTCCTTACCTATAATATGGACTATTGTGCGTTATTATTTGCTCTGTAACATTCTTATTTTTGGGGGGTTCTAAAGCTTAATAGAAATAACGACTGATTGTAGTAGCGATTATATAAACCTGCTGTAGAATATTGATTTTATAGGCAAAACTAACACCTTAATCATGCTAAAATTTGGGAGTTTATTGTACACTCATTTACAAATTTAAAAATGAAATCAAATTCTAAAACTATGCATGGAAGTAAGTCATCTAGCGCAGTAAAAAATATACAACAAATTGAACGTCTAAAGAGCGGCATACTGAAAGGAAAAAACGTTTCCAAAATGTATTTTACTTATTTTAGCTAATGCAACATTATTTTCTGAAGCAAAAGTTTCGTGCCTCAAAAGCAGTCCTCAGAGGCGGCGTTTTAGCTTTCAGCCAGCTTAATGTTTTTACAAAAACATAAATCTATAAAAAAATCTTTTAAACACTGATTCGGCTCCAAGTAATTACCAGAACTGCGTCCCACTGATCATGTTTCCTCAAATTGTTTTGGTTGTCAGAAAAGGCAACCAATGATGTTGACTTTAGTATCGGTGATGAATGGCAGATGGCACATCAGTGACTTGCACAGGTGCCGCTTAAGACTGCCTTCAAGCCTCTTTTGTGGACTGTTGATTAAATGTATACATTTTAATGCTGTGCCCAACCGATCGCCTTTTCCGATTTCTTTAGCTACAATCATTTCCGAGGCTACGACATAAACTAAGAACGGTCTCATGAGGAGCAAAATCCTCTTGTAATTTGGTGACTCCAACAACGAAGAATTCTGATTCCCATCCGGTGGGCCGAATAAACGCTAATACCATCATCAACCCGTAAAGCAAATAGCAACAACTTCAAAAATTAAATAAACCAAGCACCGAAACAACGTACACAACAGGGAAGGTTAACGCACTGGATGATCTCCGCGGTACCGGCTAGAAGGGCGAAGAAAGACGAATAACCTCACCTGTCCACTCCACTTTATTGGATGCGCCGGTGATCAAGCGCAAGCATTCCACCTCCTTCTGACCCGAGAGACGGATGGCCACGGCGCGAACCCGGGACAACTTGCAGCCATAAATCTTGCCCAGAAACCCCTCTTTGTCTGGCGGCGTCAGGACATTGCACCGGGGCCACCATCAGTCGCCTGATCGCGTCAGAAGAATCTGGTCAGTTGCCATTCGACGTAGTAGCGGCATCGCGCCTAACAGAGGGAAAAAAAGTTCGAATTGTTTGTGCCCCGGGATCAGTCAATGACATTTCTTCGGCATACGGCGCTGTGTATTTCTTCTTTCTTGTCACTTTCTGTAAGCCGCCGCGAAAGTAGAAAGGACAGGAAGGAATCTATTCTGGGAAGCTTTCCCTTTTGCGCCGGATGTCTGGCTTCAATGAAGCTAAGATGCCGGCGCTAAAGCTGGTGTTTTACTGTCGAAGTTCACAATAAAACAGAAAGCGAATTTACGGATTTAGAGGGCTGGGATTTGAGGGAGCTTTATTATTATTGTTTTAAGCATTCATTGACTAAGGATGACGAAGGAACCGAGTAATTCAAAATTGGGCTCATAATTGTTTTGCCCAGTTGATATCGCTGCGTTGTGCTCCCTCTTCAAACGTGGAGGTTGATTATAAGCACTTTATACTGCACTCTAGAATAAATAAATATTTTTTTCGAAACACGCGATCTGCTTTGAGCCATATAAAAACGCACCACCAAGATTTAGAACTACAGACGTTGATAGATTAAGACATGCACAGCGTGGTCAGTATAATGGGCGTAATATTTTTGTTTATATTTTTACGGCAGATTCTAGCCACTTATAGGTGGGTAGATATGTCCACCTTATCGACATATTCGCTCTAGAGCTGAATGCCTTCGCGCTACCTGCGTGGCGGCTTTTTTCTGCCCACAAAATTCGTCCTTTCTTAGTGCATCGCACCCACGCCTGGACTCGGCATCCAGATCACCAGTGACCGCGAGATGGCATCCTCGGAGGGACGTTTTTAATGGCCCAGAACAGGTGGTAACCTCTGAATGCTATATTTCGCTTCACCTTACTTCCAAAGGCAGCCCACGCTACGCGCTAATGGGAACAATTAGACATCGTCAGAGCATATAATAATATTGTTCGCCACGTTTCTGCGTGTGTTTTATTACTACTAAACTAATGATAAACAAAAAAACGCCCAGTGACATGCGTTTTTGACATTGCTTGATTGGTCCAGTTAGCTCCTAGCATCTGCTGCGTCTGGACTTATGCTGGAACCCAGCATAGATGGGGCCGTACACATTCGCGACAAAAAAAAGTTCGTACGACGTGTTAGAAAGATGACCGAACTCAACCAGGCGCCGGCCGATCACGGCCCCAGGTAGATCAACGCGACGCCAAGATTGACCAAAGCCCGGTGAAGTTCGGCCATTCTGCCGAAGCCTCTTGTGACCTGTCAGCCATTTGCGCGTGCATATGCATGAGCAAATCTGGGCCTGTATGTTTACATGTTCGGGGCGATGAAAAAAAAGCACCGAAAGGACAAATATGTTGCCATCATTGATGAGCTAGATTCAGCTTTTCAGGCGCGAGCGTAATGCACCGCCAAAAGGCGGTGTAAGTGCATTCAGCCCCAGGAGGACAGTGGGAAGAATGCCGATACAGCTACCGATCTCATAATGAACGGCATTTAAAAAAAAAAAAAAAAAATATTGTAACGTCGTAACGTACGTTTCTTGCACGACCACGCACATTGCTCCGTGATTCTTTTATCGGCATTTTTATTGGGGAATACCGCAATCAGGGAATACTATTGGGGAATACTCAGGACTAGCCACGAGCTTCGTTTCTTTAACGGTCAAGGAGTAAAGAAGACCCGGATAAAACTTCGAGCGTTGGTAACATTTGACTGGTTGAAACAATGGATTGAGAAGATTGGGCTGCCATTTGATAGAATCCGATCGCTGACCTGTAGTCTAGTGTTTTCATTCTTGACATAAAAGAAAACCATTGTTCTCACATCAAGGGCTGCGAAGGAGATAGAACATCCTGCACTGCCTGCGACCAAAGAGCATCGAATCAATAGGAGATCAATCGCGAGTACCTAATTTTCCCCTCCCTTTCTCCTCTACCCAAAGGCTATCTTCCACAATTGAGTACTCTACGATTTTAGTCATTTTAACGAAGGCTGAGATAATTCAACAAATGTTTGACTGACGACGGTACAAGAAGGCTTTTATGCGGGTACAATAGTTGGAAATATGAGGTCCAAATTATATAAGCAAATTACCTTGACGTAATAAAATAGCGTATAACGTGTTTGAATATTCAAAGTTGAAGCACACTCGCCGGTTTCAGTGTTTATGAACGTTTCAAAATATAATAATTAAAAAAAACTGAATAATTTGTTGAACCACAAAATGCACTTTAAATCTGTTTAAAAACACGTGCAAACATACAACGCATATTACATAGGCCCATATAGAGGGCCCATATAAAGAAAATCGAACACTCATTAGCGCAAGTCACAATGTTAAAGGCTGTTTCACATGCTGCGATTCTCGTCTGAAATCAATGCGATTTCCACTAAATGCGGCACTAAAACCGCAGTCGCTTTGCGATTGGTTTCCACCAAGTTGGTATTTTGTCGAAGAGTCGGTGTGATCACTTCATCGTCAAGCAGCCGTTCATTCATCATCGTCAACCCGCCGCGATAGTTCCGTATTCGAATATAAAATTAGCCACCTTAAAACGTTTGATTTAATGCTTAATTATTAATAATTTCTTGTTACATATTGTATTCGTATAACATTTGTGGTCATTAAGACGTTTTTGTTGTATTTTAGGCAAAGTCAAACGCGTCGCTTCCGTGTCCGAAGAGCCGGCAGCGCCGACAGAAATCGCGCGGTTGTTGGAGCATGTGAAACCAAACATTGCGATCGCACACGCTGCGTCAGCTGTCGCACCGATTTTTTTCGCAACAGTCGCTGCATGTGAAACAGGCTTAAGTGGTGCAAGATAATCTTGGTGTTGTGTGCCACATTAATTTAAATACAATATGTCCTATTGTAATATATAAAACAACAAGCACCTTGGTCAAGCATCAAATTGACGCCTGCGTCCTATGTTCGGAAAAAACGCTTATATTATGTCGAATGTTTGCTTTATATGGTTCGATAAGATATCAGTATATCAGAGGTATAACCTCATGTTATGTTTTCAATAGGCGAACGCTCGATCGATGAGATTAACATGTAAACGATG